GCTGGTTTTAAGAGTCCTCTTTGTTCTAGTCCAACATTTGGTTCCTGCTCTGGGAGCAGCTGACCTCACACACTGATTATTGATTAGTTATTGTCTATATGTTTGATGAGGAAACGAGCGCCCCGAGGGTGAACGTTCCCTCCACCAGACAGACAGGTTGCTATCAGCAGTGTGACGACTGCAGCACTAATGAACGCATGAGGAGGATTTCTGTGCATTCAGCTCTGTTGCAGAGTAATTGCATGAGGGCCGTTCAACCCCCCCGGACGAGGCCGCCCCCGCCCCCTGAATGAATCAGCACTGGTTATTAACGCCAGGAGGATTGCATTATGTCTTTTGAGCCCACGCAGTTGAAAGCAGCTCTGGTTAAAGACGCTCTCTCTACATATTTGATGTCTGTCACACGAGGAATCATCGGCGGCTGAGGGTGCTCGCTGTCTCGCTGTTTCGCTGCTCGCCCGCTCTCTTTCATGTGGAGAGTCTGGGGAATCTTTCTCATCTGGTCGTATGAAGATCCCCTCAGCGGACACACAAGGCGATGAATGAGAAGTCGGATGGCGCTCTGCTTATCTCGTATGGAGCATCCGATTGAAATGTGTGTGAGTGCGTGGAGAGATAAGAGGCAGCATCATCTGCATATGTTCATACATTAATACACTCACACCTGCAGGCTGTGGGTATATACATCAATGCTAATGTTGTTAGCAGTTCATTGCTACATCTCAGAGAAAGAAAAAAGCCGGTTTGTTCCAGAAGGCTGATTAATCGATACTTGATAATCATGTTTGTACCTTATTTCCTTCTTTCTCTCTCACCTGGACCTTTCAAAATAAAAGCTTATATGTGTGTGTGTGTGTGTGTGTTACCGTGCAGAGCTCTGTAGGCCGACCCCAGACAGGCGGAGTTGGACAGATCGATGGTGTAAACCGGAGCGTTAAACACATCAGATAAAACCTGAGAGAGAGAGAGAAAGAGAGAGAGAGCGAGAGAGAGAGACATAGACATGAGAATGATTGACACACTGCATTCATTCATTACATACTAATAATAATAATAATAATAATAATATAAACTGTTATTAACAGAGATGAATATAATACAGAGATAGAGACCTACTGTGTGTATTTCTAAAGTGTTTCTTACATCCCATAAAATCAAGAACCCGCTGAACCTTTGGTGACCCCTAGTGGGGGTCCCGAGCCCTAGTGGCGGTCCCGAGCCCCAGGCTGGGAACCACTGGTATGATTAAATAAAGTGAAGGTAGGTTGTTCCACACTGATTGGTCAGATTGGACTCTCAGTGATTGGTTGAAGTGAGTAAGTAAAACTTAATTTCTATAGAACCTTTTTTAACACAGAGATCCAAAGTGCTTTACAAACAACAAACAAACACAGGGAGCATGTAAATACAAACAAAGGAAGATAAAACAAAAGGGAAGGATAAATTAAAAGAGAGAGTACAAACAGATGAGAAACAAACAGGAGATCTAACTTTAAAAGCTGCTTTTAGGGGAGGATTTGGAACAACCACAAGATTTTTGGAAGGTGGGTGGAGAATGGCGAGTACAGGCCCTGCGACATGCTGGTGGAACACGTGCATCGACCGGAAGAACCTGGCTTACAAATTGCCACTATAACTGGACTATCCTGCTCAAGACCAGCATACTAAGTACGTGCTAATCTGTTTGACAATACAGTCCAGTTCACACACATTCATACATGACACATACGTATTATTCGAACCTGTGGGTAGGCCATTTAAGCTCTCAGGTTTATTGTGCAGATACAGTTCTGATTATCTCTAACTCCGTCGCTTTTGTTTGCGCTCATCTTTCATTTATCACAACTAAGGTGCGGCTCTCTGTACACTAGGACACATCAACATAGTTCTCCGACTCCAACGGTAGTGCCTCCAATACGTTTTACAGAAAAGTCGGATCTTATTGGATCTGAGCCTTATGGATCTAATCTGCCTGTCTCTACACCCCACAACAACAGGCAATATAGGATTGTTTCCTGTTACTCTGAGCTCGCCCACTGTTAATGAGCTGCTCCTCTGTGGCTGTTTAAAGATCAGTGTTTTTCCTGACAGGTCAGTCCCACAACTATGGTGTAGCCACTCAATTCGGTGGCATTTCACATGGGGATTGGCTGTCCACTCTGTATGATAACTGGTTAATCTCGTAATGTGGGATTAATGCGGTCTGTTCGTAAATTGTACCTGTTGGATTGACTTAATTAATTGATTTAAATCAATTAAGCATGAGAGTTGTTTTTTAAATTTCGTATATTCTCCTGAATTATGATATTAACGTTACTGTTGAGGTACTCTTTAAAAGAACACAGAAGTATCTTAACATGACCTATTATACTTCACTGTAATCTTGAAAACGTGGCGCGTAACTATTAAGAACGAAGTGGTCATCG